TTTAGCTGTTTGTGCTAACAACAGCAATAAATGAATATGAGACAACGTGGGATAATAGCGATGCTGAATTGATAACAGCTAGAGGATATCTAAAATCGACTTTGTCTATCATGGATCTATAATTAGCAACAACTCTGAGGAAGAATCTCATTCCTATGTATATAATAAAATCTTAAATCTCACTTGAACTTGTGGCTTGTCTAGTTGCATTTAATTTAAATAATCAGAGGAAATGAGTGCCAAGTGGCGTAAAAAGAGAATGTTTAGGTTGATGGTAAACTCTACTAGTCAGTATTTAAGTTTTAAGAAATGTTTAAGATCTGCAGCATCACGTTTCACATTCAAGGAAGTGAATTATTTTAATTGAAAAAAAGTATATAATCCCTCATATATCGTATCCACCCAGTTGCACTATATGGTTCATGACTTACTGTTAAACTGTTGGGACCAGGTGTGGTATTGTGCAAGTTGATCCTTAAGTTTTGAGTGAAGTTTGACATAACTCTTCAATGAACTCTTTCAGCATACAAAATAAATCTTGAAATAATCCTAAATGCGCATTCCATTTGAGTACGCACTCTTGTTGAACTTGTCTTGACTGTCATCTTGATTGTTCATCCTTTTGTGGCTGACATCGTTGAAGAATTAATTCTTTTCCTTGAATTGTTGATTACGTAAAAACTTTCTGTAAACTTTTGAAATCGTGAAAAAATTTTACAGGTTGCTGGGTTTAATTTTTGCATGTTTCAAAATAAATATTTGAGATTTTTTTTGCTGAATTTCCATGAATTTACTGCCAAAAAGTTCTTTTATTGAAATTAATGTGGAAGTCAATTAATTAAGACTGGGTTTAAAATGAATGAAATCAATTTTTAGCTCGATTTAATCTAATTATGATAAGATACGTGACAGCAAAACAGAAGGAATTGATGAAATTGTTTTTTTGTGGAAAGAAACTGTTGGAAGTATGTTCACAAGTTATGGATAATATTTCAACTAATCAGTTATGAATTTTAATGGCTTTATCTTACTTTAAAGGTTTTTCATTTGTTGAGTTCGAATGTGATTGACCAGATCTGAATTATTTGCAAACTTCTTTCTACAGTGCATAAAGACAAGCTCTCGATATTTACGATGATTAAGAATTGAAAAAAATGTTCAAAAATCCCTTGTGCATCCTTGATATTTATTCAATCCGTTAGGAGTTTTTAATTTCTTTATCTATTAGACTTATCTTGAGATGAGTAATTAGATGTCGCATTTGTAAGTAATTTATAATTCTCGTAAGAAGTTATGTTGGAGCTTAATATATACAAAAGACATTCTTCTGTATGTACTGCAATATATCAAACGAGGCGTGGAACTTTGTTGGCTTTCTACGTAGATCGTGCTTTTTTTTTTAATTTGAACCCTGATTTACCAATTCCCATCAGAAATAATTTGAACTAAACACATCTCCTAAATGTTTTATCAATTTTTCTATGCTAAATTACATAACGAGTCACATAAATCATATAAAAATATTAAATAATAAAAATTTTATTCTTCTTCTTTTTTGCTTCATTCTGAATAGGATTTATACACCAATATAAATATACATAAGCACCACACTAATCAAGACGTATACACTCGGGATTTTTGGGATCAATCCCAGAAAATCCTAAAACATCCCAGACAGTCCCAAAAATCCCAAAAAAATCCCAACTTTTTTTCGAGTGTATACGCCTTGGATTATTTCAAGATCTGTTGACTAAATTGTATCAATTATGTAGGACAAGCAAGAAAATTTGTTATTACAAATTATAATGATGTAATTTCCTAACATGATTTTGAGAGAGCACATGAAGGAAAAAATGAAATCCTCTTTAGGCAAAATGATGGAAAATTTTTACTTTTGAAAAATTTCTTTTCATTTTTTCATAGGTCTATATTGACCACCATAGAAGGTTTTTCCTTCGTCAACACAAATTGGATGAAAAATAAAATGTTCTTTATCTCATTGTCAAATCAGCAGTATATTTGAATTTATTTGTAAATAATAAGATGAAAATTTCTTCTTCTTTTATGACAGAAGAATAATATTCGATCTCAAAGGACTTTTCTGACATTGATACAAAATATTTTAATGTGGAATATTTATTCAAGTCAAATGAGACTCATCATATTTTCTTTATGGAACAGATTTCTTTTTATTCATATCTACGATGAAGCAAAATCAAGAAATCCCTATCAAATTTCCCTGTCGTTTTCCGATTGAATTAATATCCAATTTCTTTTCAATTTATTTCGATTTTATTTCATTTTATAAGTTGATATGAAATTTCCGCTATCAATATACGGGTCATTTAAGTCAAAGCCAAACATTTTCATTCTTTTGACCATCAACTTGTTCACAATAATTCAAGATGAAGGTAGGAAAAGAAAGATTTTAAGTTATCCTCTTCAACTCAAGTGCAATTTTGGCTCTCTTTTTCCTTTTATGTGGAGCACGATCATCATCTCTTTTTTTCCAATAGAATAAAAAAAGATGCCTCATACTTATATCTATCATCATACGATACGGAAGATAAATTTTATTTTACTTCTTTCCCAAGTTTTGCAAACAATTTGTTGATGTTTGTCAAGTGCACTTAGGAAGATGTAAAAAGTATTTTTATTTCTCATGTCCTACATCACATAACGTAGCACTTTAAAAAATTTTTGAAAAAGTAATTGATTTGAATTGAAATTCTGGTTGAATCCGTAATGTTTGCTGGTTGACTTCAAAAAGGTAGTTACCCTGTAGTTTGTTGACACAAGGGTACTCATGGAAGCTTACCTCAAGTTGTTTGAATAACTTTTGACGAATATTATCATGCCACAATTTTGAAGTAAAATTAATGTTGAATTGTACAATTCACACGCTATTTTTATTTTTAATAAATTTATTCAAAAAATTTCAATAAATTGAATGGTTTTGTGATAAATGAGCCATTAGAGTCTACTTCAATGCTGCATTCAATTAAATATAAAACAATAAAATAATAAATTCAACAGAAAGGTAAAAAATTTACATTTAAAATCAATTAATGCTCTCAGAATCGAACGAACTGTAGAAAATTGTGATCTAAAAAATCTGCTATAATTTCCCTGACCTGCAATTTAGAATGAAATTTTTTCCCACAATTAAACCAAGATATAAAACTTTGAACCCTATTTAATATGTCTTTTTTTTTCTTCTTCTTTAGTATCTCGAAACATATTGCAAGGTAGACCATTACCACCTTCCCAGGAGAAAATTGAAAATTTGTATATATTTATGAATCTATGTGGGGAAATGGATGAAAAACTTGTTCATTTTGAGTGGGAAAAAGATTCGAGAAATCTCGTTTAATTTATCATCATTAAGTAAAATTGTCGAGAAGATTAAGTCGTTTAATTTAATTCCATTTTGTCGCACTTTTTTTTGCAGCATCTTTCTTTTTTCAACTTTTGTGCGACTAACAACGGGAGATTTTTTATGCTACGCCATTAAGATGACAAGAAAATAAATATATTTGAAGTCAACCTGGAAAATTGTTCCTTTCCCGAGGTATGTTTCGGCACATTTATATCATAATTATTTCCACTCGCCATTTACAAATGTTTTGAAGGACGAGAAGGGAAGAAAAGTTTTAATGACATTCTCTTAAGGCTTCTTCGCATTCCATCTTTTTTTCTATGTTTTCGTAAGCTGTTTGCATTTCCTTCGGTCCAGACACACGGTAATACAAAATAATATTTTAATGCTTTTGGTCCTTTAAAAACATAAAAGTTTGGATTTTTTTTAATAATTAAGTACTTCTGAAGTGTCTGTCAAATTTTGTACGATAGAATTGGGATGTTTATACTAGTCTTTAGCAAAATATTGTTGAATAACAGAAAGTCGTGCTTCCCTGTGGGTCACAATTCTTTCGTCGGATCCGAGCTAACTGGACACTAGAGTCAACAATACTGTAAAATAAATGACATAAGATCAACAAAAGAATTTTCGCTCTTTTTTGCGTGAAGATTCACACAAGAATGACATAATTCATTGCTGCCCTCATCGTCATTTTGTATGATAAAAAAAGGCGGAAAGGACTTGAAAGAACTCACGATAATGACAATGATGATGGAAAATCGCTTTCAAGTGTCGACAGTAGTGGAATTGAAAAGCGAACATTAAAGAAAATTTTATTTTTTTATTAAATTTGCTGGTTTTACAATTTGTGGGCTTAAAATTTAGACAAATTTCTCATCATTCATCCAATTCATTTAAGGATTAATATACAGTCTAGCCGTCGTCGATGTCGTTCATGTCTAGCATAGCAAATTTTTTTCATTGAAGAATCAAATTACAATTTTTCCACTTCATTTCCAACATTTTTTGCTTTATTTTCTTTCCTTCTCTTTTACATTCTGTGTGTACTACTTAGTTATAATATTTCAATAAAGCACCATCAGAGATTTTTCTGGATGTTGTATTTCATTCTTTATCCGCCATTCTTTTTTGTTATGCTGCTTATATTCATAGTACTTGTGCAATATAATCACTGAAATAATGATTTGAGTTGATCCAATTATTTGATAAATTTGAGAATTTTTCTTTTTTTCCATTTTTTGTATCCTCAAGTCATTTTTCTCTCTTGTTGTCAAGATGTAGCACAACAGACATATTGCGAAACGTGAGATTTTTTATCGTTATTATTATGCAAGCTTTGCTGTAAGAATACTATAAGTTTTACATCCTTGAAAGGCAATGCTTTTAGCATTTATTATTTATTTATTTCTTTTTAATTTTTTTTAAAATATAATAAGGAGTTCTATTAAATGGAGAACTTTTATTGGAAATCATTGCTAAATTAATGCATAAAAGTCTCAATTACGTTAAACTGATTTCCATAATAAGAGTCATTACGACAATTTTTTAATATTAATTAATTAAAAGATTATAAATTGTAAACTGAAAATCTGTCAAAATTAATTATTGCAAGTTTAAATTATTTTGTTTTCATGCAATTTCGAACAGTTTCTAGAATTAAAGCAACTCGTCTGTCAAGTGCTTCAAGATGTGAATCTAGTAAAATTGGTGTTAATGGATCTGATGACATAGCGTCACGTAAAGCAGCTGATAACTTTTTAGATCCGGTATGGTACCTAAGAAAAAATTCACTTGTTATAAATTCCATCAAATATTCAAAATTGTGTGCTTACTTTATGAGAGTTTTCAATGTAGAAGATCTGATTGTGCAGCATTGTTGAAGTGGAGCCAAAATAGAAACCTCATCATGATTTGGTCTGTTAAAACCTTGTCCAAATTCTGAATGAATTATAAACGCATCGTCTCCAAAAATTCTAGATGAATTGAAGTGAAATAAATTTTAACATTTTTTCCCAAAATTTCATTTTTTTTCCTTAAAAATTTATAAACAAATATAATTCTAAAGTTTGACGAAATTTCATACTCAAACATTTCATAATATTTGCGATTCATGTTGCCAGTAAGGAAGTCCATTATTGCCAAATCCACAATATCTAAAATCCTCTTTCCAGATTTAAATGGCTTGATATTTCGAATCTAGTACAATATGCAAGTTTAAAATTATTAAAAGCTATGATTCATCAAAAAGATCTTACAGTATCGCAGTAATTTTGATCAACTTCCCATATTGCTTGTCTCTTTTTATCAAATGAACGTTTCCATGGATATTTATATACCTTTAAACATAAATAAAAAATCAAAATGTTCCATTAATATGGTTATTGATCTTCTTACATCTCTTGTAGCATTATCATGTGTTGGTAAAGAAGCAGCAAGCGAAGCTTCAATAATATTAGGATTTCCACATGTTGGATGATTGGTATCGCAATAATTTTCACATCTACCCGTCATACAATTATTTCCTCCTGGAGTAACATAAAAAGTTTTTAACAGCTCATCAAAGGCGAATGGATAAATTTCTTCCATTATATTGACATAACGTCCGACATGAGGAATTGCACGACGGAAACCAAGAATTCTAAGTGTAAAAAATTTTAAATTTTTAGATATGAATACCAAAATCATTAGTTTCATACCTATCCAAATGATATGCTGCAATTTCTGCATTATGTCTATCGTAATCGTCCCAGTAAAAGTGATTCGGATGAGCATGTTCATCACGTTTAGCTCTGATATTAAGCAAATTAATAATATTAATTTTTGACTACTTATTGTTGCTTATTGTATGTCATGAGCATTGTATGAATCGTTGTCATATTAACAACACTCTATGTTATAGTTTAAGGTATCTGGTGGCAATCGAATCTACGTTCTCAAAAAGAGGGTTACAGATATTCAGTCTGTTGCTTAACCACTCGACAACAGAAACCTTACTCTCGCACTGGCAGAATCGCCAACATACAGCTCTTAATCCCAGATTCTACCTTGCTCAGACACCTTACTTACCTTCCTGGTTTCATAATAGCACGAGTCTCAGTTTGGAGATATAAAAATATCTTAAAATGTTCAGTATAATGCTCATGATACTCTAAATGTGGATTAATTTAATTAAATAATAATAATAAGTAAAAAGTATTATTTATAAACTCACCAATGAAGTACACGGGAAGTGTTTTTAAATCTTTCAGTAAATGCTTAATAACTTTTTCATTTTCTGGATACATTTCATTCTTAGAAATTGAGTATTGAAACAATTCAAGATTTGTTGAATGCCATCTATAAAGTTTTTTTTAAAAACAACAGATCGACATAAATTATAAATTGGATAAAAATTTCACAAAGAATATTTACCTAAAAACAAAGTTTGTAAGCTCAGCAAATGTGGGATTCTCACTGTTTAATTTTTCATGAATAACAACTTTTTCATGATTTTTTGGTGAATTTTCATCAACTCGTCCTTGAGCTATTGCCAATAAGTCAGCAAACTTGTCATTCATCGTAGGTGGGATTTTGACATGTTTACTTCCAAAACAAGTATCTTCCATCTCAAGTCTTGGAAACTCTTCAAGATATGCCCAACATAATGCTCTAAAAATGTTGAACAAACATAAGCGTATGAGTTTCATGCTTCAGAATGATAATGACAGCTTTAAAGCATCTATTCTGTTTGCAATATGGAGACACGCGTTCATCTACTCATATGAAAAAAAGGCACAGATTGTCCTTACAACAATTTTCACTTTTTATTATATCATATTCTACAGAAGTAATAACAAGAGAAAGAATGGCAAAAATCATTTGTTTCAAAAAAAAAAAAAGGCAGAAAGTGAAACAGCAAACTTTTTTTTTGAGCTTCAAGAGGGAGATTGTGATGAGATATGAGACAGTCAAGTCTGACAGTGTGTGTGAAATATGATGACATGAAAAAATTTATGCAGCAACATATTTTGTACAACTCTCTCTCTTCTTTACAGTCCTCATCGCACTTTATGGACATTTAAAATAAAATTTTACTACAGCAATAATTCTTGTTAACAATGCACTTTTGTCCCATTATATTAAGCTTTTTAAATTAATAATTTGTAATTTTTCAACAAAAAAAAAGTTATGACGAAAGATGTGATGTGTGTTCTCACAGCTATTTTAATATTTATGAAGCTGACACTTGAATGCTTTGGATTTAGCAATTCTTTTACATATTTTATTTCCTTGATTGTAAAATGATTTGAAAATAAGGGTACTTACACTAACAGCAGGACCGATGGTAGAATGAATCTTATTTTAATCATATTGAAAATTTACGAATGTTTTAAAAACCCACAATTTTATTAGATACCAAAAAAATTATTTAGAGTTTAAGGCAACGATGTGTTCACCATGTGCCTTTGTAAAACTAAATGAGCTGTAGACGTGGGCCGAATTTCCAAACTTCGAACTTCATAGCATCCGTAAATTTGAACAAGTGTTTTCTGATCCGAAGTTCATAATAAATAAGTATGAATATAATAGAATTCGAACAATATTGAAGTAATGGTTTTATTTTATGTATTTGATAATGAGTGTGTCTTAATCGAGGAGTTAACCTTTAGTAAAAATTTGAATTGGAATTAGAGGAAAGTGGCATGTCAAGGGTGTTTGTCAGAACTTCATTTGTTTCGAAAATTTTATAGTCTGAAATATTGCAAAAAATCTGAAATACAAAAATTGAAAAAATAAAAAAAATTTTTTATGAATTTTTAACATTTTATTAAACAGTTTTGTTTCCTCTTATCTCGTCTTTTACGAAGAAATTTAACAAAAAATGTTCAATCTGTAATTTTCTTAAATCATTATTTTCACATTTTTAAAATAAGGTGATGAACAAATGTAAAGATACAGTAAACTAGTTTTTTTTGGAACTTAGCATTTTCACAGTTATAAAATTTTTATATAACTTAAAAAATGATGAAAATAAAGGTAGATATTAAAAGTAAATAAAAATTTGATATTTTCAGTAATTAAAGGTTCAATAAGTTGGTAAGAATATTTTAGCTGCATCCTAACAGCTTTTGGTACATTTTCTCTCTCAATTTTATTGTAAATCTTTATTAATTAGTAATATATTTTAATTCTTTTATTATTTATATATATAAACTAGAACAACAGCCTCATTCTCATTATTTAATTTATATTTTTATATATCTCGACTTTTTTGGGTACATTTTTTTTCTTTCGTTAAATATTTTATTTCCCATAAATCCTTTATTTAATTTTATTTTATACAAGAACCGAATAGAAAGGTTATCATCCATAATTTATTATTTTTAATATGAAAACGAAGAATTGTTTGTTATTGAATCATTAAAAATTCAGTCAATTTATATCCATAAAAAGAGTTTTATTTATTGTACAATGCCTAATTTGGTTCACATATTCAATACAATAAAGTGCAACGAAATTGGAGGAAATAGGAGACATAGTTTTTTCCATCACAGGAAATAGATTTTTTTTATAATTTTGTCGATGCAATTTCTGGTAATTAATTTCAAGGCTGTTTATGCCTGACTCAAAATTGAATTTTTAAAAATCTGAATTAATCTGAAAATCATAATTTTCTCATTCTACCACACAATTTTTTTTAAAATTAAAAGCTTAATCCACCTATTAGCATTTACCTTTCAATTCATATAAGAAAATTTAAATCAATTTTTTTTTGAATAATATTCAAATTTCTATAAACATTCAATAATGCAACAGGATTGTCATTAAAAAACTATAAATAATTTATGATTGTAAATTTTTAACATGTGCAAATTGATTCAATTAAAATATTATTTAAAATAGGAGTTTTTGTTTTGACAAAAACATCATAAAATATAAACTGGTTGTACTTATTGTGTTGCAAAATTGTCCTAATTGTTTAAACATTGTGGTAATGTATATGATTGTTTTTAAAACTGCGTGAAAAATTAATTATTTATTATTATTATGATTATTATAAATTTTTTTTACAAAATTTTGATGGAATTTAAATTATTCAAATTCGCTAATTAATGATTTATATTCACACAAAAATCAGTTTTGTTTCATGTGTTGAACAGTTTATAAACAGGTTTTGCATTTTTGAATTTAAAAAGATATTTAAGACATGATTGAAATTAATTTCTCTTTTCTATTTACTTAAACTACAATAATTCCAAATTTGAAATAAAGAAAGATTTGACGACTTTTCTATTTAAAATGGAACAGAACCTTTAAATTATCACGGTTAGACATTAATTAACAAAACTTAAATTTAAACACGAGTCTGAATGGTAAAAAAAGATTATAAACGGGTTAAAATCGATTCATTTGCAAATATGACAAGTCAGTCTACTGAAAGTTTTTGGATTTTTAAAACCTTAAAAGTTTTCAACCATGACTTTGTTGTATCAAGAATCATTCTGTATAATAGAAAAGTATTATGCATAGTTCAAAGTGAGTTTCACAAACATCAGTGAATTTTAGCAAAAGTTTCTTTTATAAACTCTTTAGAAATTCTTTGAAGCATGAAACAAAAACCGTGATTAATCCATGCTATTATTTTAATTCAATTTTCATTAATTAGCGTCGAAAGGATGAAAATTGTTGAATAAATTAGAAAATTTTTTTGAAAGAGATTCAAAAGTTTCAAGACATTAAAAAATCAAAAGAAATCTTTTCTTTTGTGAATTTTAATTTACTCAAAACATTTTCTTTTTTTTATAAAATTAATCAAGCAATTAATACTAACTTAATTATTTACGAATATTATATATTTTTGGTAACATAATTATGAAAAGGAAAAGTGATAAGATGACAATTTAAATATTCTAGCGGGTACGGATCTTAATCAAAGCACATTTCTGCTCAGTCTGGAGCCCTTACCAATCTTCATTGAACTATAAACTTTATTTCTTTCCATTATTACCAAAATTTTTTTGAAGGCCAATTTTCAACAATTTTTTCTCTTTGGTTATCCTACATACACAACAATTTCACAATTTTACTTATCATTAAATCCATCCTAATAAGAAATTCTATCATATCCTAAAATAAATGATCATTAAGTGAATGACATTCAACAGAAATTTAATTTGTATCGCCTTCAGCTTATGCAAAATGGAATTTTGGAATAAAATTAAAATTTATCCATCAAAGATAATCAAATTAAGCAATAAAACGATAAACATCTTGAATGTTAAAAATTAAATCTTAAAATAGTAACAATAATTAAAATCTTTAAAAATAAATTGCACTGATTTTGTGAACGAATTTTGAAAAACAATCTCAAAACTTTTGATTCATTTTAGCATATTTATTTCAAAAAAATTCAAATTCTTGAAAAATTTTTAAGATCAAAAGAATATTTTTAATATTTCAACATCGCAAGTAGCACAAGAGTTTCACTTTGAAATCACACAGAGTTTAAAGTTTTTAGAGTGATGTTATCAAATTTTTTTAAATAAAATGGAGATCAAAATATCGAAAAATTTCCTATTACAACTCCGTAGCTCAATTTTTTATTCATATAAAGATTATTTTTCAATTTGTAATCATACAAAATTATTCTGTCAAAAACATCACATAAGAATTTTGTATAAAGTTGGATTTCGTTTGATTAAATTATGTGAAAATAAAGGATGAGAAAATTCTTTAAAAAATCTTTCCATCAATTTTGATTGAAACAGTTTTTTGTCAAAAAAATTTTTTTTTTATAATTTTATGAATTTTTAAAGTTTTGGTTGTCAAGTCGTTGGACATTTTTCATAGAACAAACAACAAACTGTAAACAAAGATTGTGATGCAAATTTTAATATTCTCGAGTACTTTTCCACAAAAACTATTAAATCTGAAGTTTTTCTCTTCTTCCTTTCGAAAGGAAGCTTCGTCTAGTATTATTGAGAATTGTTATATATGATTCGGTTGGAAAGACTTAATATTGCATATATTGGATTACAAACTTGATTTTTATCTCTACATTATTTTCTCTTTTTTATTTGGAAATGCATTTTTACTACTTTTCATGCATGCATTTAATATAATAGAAGGAAATATGAAGAAATGTCTTGACTGTTAAATTGATTTTCTACATAACATATTTACATATCCGAATTATTGACAATTCTTTCTATCTTGTCGTCGAATTTACTTCTATTTTATATAGAAATTTGAAGGAACTTAAAGTTTGTTTACACTTGGTTTGACGCCTCTTCTTTGGGAATCTCATATTCAACATTATTGCTTTGTCTCGATTCGATATCAACTTTTTTGAGACAATCGCGAATACCCTGTAGAATAATGACTACTCGTCTATCAAGTGCTTCAAGATGGGGCTCCCATAGAACAGGCGAAATGGGATCAACAGTCATTGACTCACGCATTGCATCAGATAGCTTTTTTGGTCCGTTATGGTATCTGTTGAAGAGAAGAAAAAAATCCATTTTATGAAAATTATCTCAAGTTTTCATTGCTGCTAAATTATGTGCATAATATGATTTTAATGAGTATTGTGAGTTTTTACGTATTCTTCATGTAACCATAAATGCTGATATTTTTTTAATATAAATTTTAAACAATGAGATTTTGTTTCGTGAAACTGATATCCGGAAAAAATTAATTCTCATTTACAAAAAATTAAAATCAAGCTAAAAAATAATTAAATTTTTTTTTCTCTTAAAATATTTTCTCCTACATATTCGCTCATTGAGTCAAAATATTCACGCTCCTTTCGTTCAAAAAATGTTTCCATACGTACATCCATTAATTTAAAAATGTATGTTTATTATTTTTGAAACCGAATTTCAGTGCTTGATATGAAATATCATTTATAAAATTACAACAGGGATTCAGGATATTTATTCAACTGAAAAGTGTTCAGTCCATGTGCATGAAATTGAGAAAATAAAAAAGTTGATGTTGGTTGAGTGGAAACCACAATTATAAAAATTGGTAATTTTTCAGTCGACAGTTTTATAATGTCCGATTATTATTATTATTTTTATTATAATATCTTTCTGGCTGTTGTTTCATTGAATAATTTATGAACAATTTTCATATTTTTTTTTCTTTTAACCTCTCTTGATGAGTTTAACTTCCTCATTGTTAATGACTGTATTTCTCTACAATATTTACCCGGAATTTCACCTACTGACAGTCATGAGGGAGCTTTTTAAAGCCATGAATAGAAAAATCGAGGCAATCAAGTGATCATTAATAGATAACTAATGCGCGATAACTGAATTACCTTTTATTAATGTAAACATGCATGAATGATGTTTTGTGTATAAAAAAATAAAGGAACGAAAGTTGACATATCAAGCAATCAATAAAGAACACAGTCATTTAATTTTGTCAACAACAACAGTACAGTGAATTTTCAATTCAACATTTATCGTCGTGTCATAGTGAAATAAACAGAAATATACAGAAATTAATGGTTTTTGCAAGTATAATTGATGTAGCGTGTTATTTATTGTCATTGCTCCTCACTCTCTTTTTTCGTAAATAAAAATTGCATTTTTGTATTTCCCTTTGTTGAGCCGCTTACAGTTCTGTGCATTTGATTGATTATGTCATGCAACAATTTAATTCTCTTCCCCAATATCATCATTTTATATCTCCCACTCATCAAGTAGCTTGATTGTCATTTTTGGTGACACTTGACTTAATGAAATTTGCATTTTTCGCAATTGCTGACATAAATTAATTTAAAGCTTATATTATTTGAATGAAAAAGTTTAAAAGATATGCAATTTGAATCCTGTTATGTTTTAATTCACTTTATTAATTTTTGATTGGTATTTAATCGTAGCTAAGCATAATCTTGGATGTCAAGCAATGTGTAAGCTTATCTTAGATGTTTTGCTTACTATGCAAACCTTTCATCCCCTTTAATGGAAACGAAACCTTGAGCAATTCAAACAAACTTATCAAAGACTAGGATTTTTAACCCTAGAGTCCTTTTCCTGGCTACACTATTCTCTAATTCGTTAAGGCTCAATCAATATGTCAAAAGAATTTGATTATTTTACGAAATATAAATTATGACTCATGAGATGTTGCTTTTTCGCAATCATAAAAGTCTATAAGATTTTATCGGTTGCAGCCTTTTAGATCATCAAAAGATGATGAGAACAGAAGTTTTGAAAACATATTAAATCTAAACTGACCGTTATAAATAATAAAATTAGCTGTGATTTGCAAAATTAGCATAACTTCTTCCTCTTATCAATCTAAGAAGGATGTACAACACAGACCTTGAGTATCTTAATTAAAAAGTATATTTTGTGGCTTCTCTTTTCATTATCAACAATCAGCAGTAAAGGGAGCATTTGAGAGATAAAAAGATAAGAATTTATTGCTAACCAAAAAAGTGAATGAAAAACTTTTCTTGCTCATCTTTTCAACTTGAATGAACTTCTTTCGTCCTTTTTGCAATGGAACCGTCATTAATCACTGTCATTATAATGTTTATTAAATCAATTAAAATATCTATGTTGACCTTTTCTACTGACTTATAACGTAAAATGTATTTTTTTCATTCTTTTGTTATTCCAGTTGACAACAAAGCTTGAGTAAAAAAGATGGAAAGAAGAAAAGTTAAGTAACTGTGATTTAAGGAACAAAAATAATTTTCTTGTCCATTGTTATATTTTTTTTTTCTTCTGAGAAATAGCAAAATGTTAATTAAGGGCAGGAGATAGGACGATACTAATGTAAAATGAATATTATACTGATAAGTTGATAAGGCAAAAGTCTTATGATAGTTTTATGTTTTACAAATCCAATAAATTCCATTTCTCATAATGCCTATTGTTATCCTTTTTATCAAATCATTGTCTTTATGTTAAACTACGTAAAACAAAAAAAAAACTTCTTTTCTTCTTGTCTTTCATAAGGAAGGAAAAGTTTTTCCATATTCTGCTCCAATTTTACCTTACAAATAGTAAAGAGAATGAGTCAGAAACAGGAAAAGGAACAACATCAACAATGGCATGATACAAGATTCAGCTTTTTGAGAAAGGACAACTAAAGCCTTTTTCATGTTATTTTCATTTGATAACATAAATAAATAGACTTATGTGTGTTTATACATACATACTCAAACAAAAGAGAGGATAGACAATTTTTTTTTGCATCTATCACGGAATTTCTTCTTTTAGAAACAAAATTAGGCTTTTTTGACAACATTAACCATAACAAAAATTATTATTAATATTATTATTATTACTAGTGGCTCTTTAGTCATATTATAGTCAGCTATGTAAATGATGATATGTAGTAATAAAGTTTTCATGGAATGAATAATATTAAAAATTCCATTGAACATTTTTCTTCTTTACTGAGTCGCTTCGTCAACATATATTATTATTGGTATAACGAGTAGACAATGAAGTATAACATGCATGCTTCACATTACAGCATGACTTTATTGGCCAAATATTTTTTGCAATAAAGGAATATTTAAACGGAATTTTTTTTTTTTCATAAATTCTGAAAAATAATCACAATTAAATTCTTTTGCTTGTTCGAACTGAACTGTTTAAGAGATAAGAGGATTATGAAAATTATAATATTTTATGTTGTTGAAAGCTAAATAGTTCACTTGCATATTAAAATGATTTATAGATATATAGAAGATAATAAGTACAATCCTTTGAGATTAGTTGTAGAAACGGACAATATTCAATAATATGAATCGGTAAGTCTAAGTTTTGAGAAGCTCACTCATCATGTTCCAGCAAGGAAATTGTTTTGTTTTAGTTAAAACCGGATGAAATTCTTTTGTTCTAGATAACATTTTTTAATTCAAGAAACAAAAGTGCCGTAATAGCTCAGTTGGCAAGGAACAGATCACAAAAGTTGATGTTGTATTTGAACTCCCGGGTTCAGATCCTACCACCAGCCTAGTGAGTTTTCAGAGGTTTAGATACTTCGGCTTCTTAGATATAGCAGTTTAAGACTGTAAAACTAAAAGAATTAGTCCATGTGAGATGTAGGAACGGGCAAAGAATTATGTAGACAGAACGAGAAAGATATACGAGCCGTAAATTCACCAACAAGGGATTTACTGGAGTCATTGCGACCTACTGAAAATTGGAACAAGAGCCGACATGAACACTAGTTCTAAGATCTTAAGAATTTTTAATTGGCTGCTGGATACACAACTGCTAAGTGAAGATTAGGCATTACATACTGAGCTAGCGTACTTAATAAAGATTTAAGAATAAAATTGTAGCGCTTAATGGTTTTAGTAACACTGTTGCACAGTTTGAGATGAATAAATTGAAATCCTACCAGATGAAAATAAAATTTCCATCCCTTGCTTTTGAGATGACCCCCATAAAATCATTAAGATACATAAAGCCTAATCTTTAATTAGATTAAATCAATAGATTTTTTTAAAAGTATAATTTCCTCAAAATATTGCTCAGCAAACGTTAAATCCAGGTTTATCACTCTCAAAATCAAAACTTTTCATTGAAATTGAAAATTCTTGAAATTTTGCTTTTCAAAGAATTTCCTTTCTTCCACATGAGTAAGAAGAGGATTAAACCTGAATAAAATTAAAAAAATTTCTTTCTTTCAAAATAAGAACAATGAAATCTCATCATTCTATTGTTTAATATCAACATGATTGCCATTTCAAAAATTTATTTATTCATCCTTTTTAGTTTGATATAAAATAGGGTAGAATATAAATCTCTGGAATAATGTACATACATCATCGTCTTTGTATACAGAAATTAAAATTTTCATAGGACTTGGGATATTTTTATTCATCTGCTCTGCCATTCATTTACATTTTAGAATAGCTTTATAACTATTTTATAGTCATAATTTAATAAATTCCATCCGTAGAGCATACAATAAAGGATATTATGTGATACATATTACTATTACTATTATTATTATCACTATGATTGAATGAATAAGAAATTGCTCTTACGTGTAACGCACAAAGGAAAGCCTTGTATGTGTGTATCTTGATTAAAGACATCCTTCATGCTTCTTGTATTTGTGGAATGTAATAAATGATAAATAAATTTCTTTTCTCAACTATATATATTGTATGCACGTATACATGCGGAGCCTTACATACATTTCGTGCACGCATAATTAAATTTCTCATTTTCCTTTATCCCTTTTTCAGATGTACTCTTATTTATAAACGCAATCAAAAGTGTACGAGTACATATATATATTTATTAATAATTTTAGAGTTCTCAACATCAGGATCATCATTCATGAATAGCATCATATAGTTATTGTTATTGTTGTAGATTGTACAAAGAATATTCTCAATAGTGAAGGCCTCCAAAATGAAGTATGTATGGTGGAAGGAAATTTATGTTGCAACATTAAACATATTTGTGTACGTGCATGTCGTATTATAACCAACAAGAGATATATATTTTATTGTTATTTTGTCATTGCACATAGCAACAGAGACGGAATTTTTCATACTAAATGTTAGTGTATATATGTGTTGATATTATGGTAAGGCAAAAACAGAAATTTTTTTTTATTAAATTACACTCTCGGGAAGAAAAGTTTTATACACAAAATACACATATATATTTATATGTCGTACAGTAAAAACTATTTCACATATTAATGCCTCGGAATTTTACCTCAAAATTTTACATAAATAGTATGGAGAGGGAAAATAACATTTTTAATGCACATTGGAATAAATATTGGAGCATCATGAGATGAGAAAATTGCAGTTACGTGAAAATGACCAACAACATATTGTTATTGTTACTGATGATGTTCATTTTTCTTCAAACATTTATTGAATGCAAGTGCAATGTTACACATTTATCTATCTATCTACAAAATAATTTCATATTCATTACATATAACGTTATAGAAAATTCAAAAGTTCAAAATTGTTCGAGGTAAATGGACCCTTGGAAACATTCTGCTTGCATTCCAGTTAGAAAAGTTAATAAATTTACATACAGAATTCACGATAAAGTTTCTAATCTGACAAAATATTTCAATTGGGACAATATCAAATGAGTAAGACAGAGAAGTGAAGTAAGCATTATTGTAACGACACTAAATTATTTTTATGACTTTTCTGCAGTCGTTTAGTGGCTTTTCGAAATGAAAATTTTTGCTTCTCTCAATCCTTACTGATTCACTTCATAACTTTGCATTTATATCAATAATAACAATAACAATTCCTCATGTCTGTGTATTATCTTTTCATATAATCCATTCAAAATATTCTCCATGAGCTTTCTTTCCATTGCATTTTATAAATTGTGAGTGCAATGGTTAGTAAAATCAAATGATAAATGAACTCAAAAATCTCTGCTCATCTATTATATTGTAATACTTACTTCAGTAATGTCTCGAGGGTTGATGCACGTATCGTACAACATTGCAATACAGGTGCAAGTATAGATATCTCATCGTGGAACGCTCGACCAAATCCTCGTCCATGATCTAAATGTATTGGGAATGTATCGTTTCCGAAAATTCTAAATAAATAGAGAATTTGTTTGTGGTTTTAGGATTTAACTGATATTTCTGATTATTTAATGTTTTGACTTACTTAAAGGTCTCGTAATGATGACGATCCATATTGCCCATGAGAAAATCATAAATGGACATATCTATCAAATCAAGTAATCGACGTCCTGTATCATACGGTGGAATATCTCTTACCTATGAAAAGAAGGACATGCATTATTAGTTTCACAATTTTTTAAGCAAAACATGATGAACACATGATGAATGAAATTTGTTAAAGAAGTTGTCAAACAAAATATCCTATAATATAATCCAATGTCCAGTTTCATAATGGATTAGTAAGGTTATTTTATGTCAAAATCATAAACAGTTCTTGACAGGTAAAGGAAATTATATTTAGTATTTTTGTCCTTAAATCTAATAGTTTTTTGTTGTGTGAGTTTAATATTAATACAATCTTTATAAATCATAAATGATGGATGTAGAATTACGACATGACAAAGGTAAACATAAGAGAGTTCAGAAACATTTATTTTATGTTTTGTTTCATATTAAAGAGTACTTAGTCTATGCATGAACAAAGTTTTTAGCATGGATGAAAATTTAATAAAGTTTATTGATGTTTTTTATAGTTAAAACAAGTTTATTGAACTTTAGGTTTGTTTTGTTGTTTAAATATTCTATTTTCAACCCTTGTTAGAGCAACAAAACTATGATGGTAAAGTTTGACGTCATTAAAAATTAAAAAGTAAGTCACGAGAACTAAAAATTTGTTGATATCATTTATTATTCACGTGCCGTATTGAATTTTTCATTTGTAATTTAAACTTACCATAGTGCAGTAATCAGCATCGGTTTCCCACTGTGCCTTTCGTCTCTTATGATAAGATCGTCTCCATGGATGTCTCCACACCTTTAATTAAAAATCAATTTAAAGATCAGTTTATTAAAAAGCTGTAATATAAGTCTGTACCTTTCGTTGAGCGTTTTCATATGTTGGTAAAAAAGCTGCAAATGAGCCTTCAAGCGTATCAGGATTGCCGCAAATAGCATGACTTGTATCGCAATAATAAGAACACTTGCCATGAAAACAGACATTATTTGATGGAGAAATAAAGAATGTCTTCAGTAGATCATCATCAGCCAATTGATAGATTTCGCTTGTTATATTTAATATACGACCAGCAACTGGCATCGCACGACGAAAACCGAGTAATCTGTTTATTATGTAAGAAAGAAAAAAAAAATGGTGAGAAATGTTTATTTTTTTCGTGATTTATGCAACTGTTAGATCTCACGCTATAACGTCAATTACTAACAAACAGCTACTCACTTGTCCAAATGATATGCTGCAATCTCAGCATTATGCCTTTCAAAATCCGTAAAATAGAAATGGTTTGGAAGTGTCTGTTGCTCACGAGGAAATCTGAAAGAAGATTAAGTTGATGAGAGGTTTGTTATTATGTCGTAAGATGCCATAAAAATTTTTTTTTGTGTAAAGCTTGTGGAACTAAATTTTCAATCCCATAAAACGTTTTAACCCCCGAAAAATTTCCATCAAAAATAAAATCTCATGTTGTAGTATTAGTTTAATAGGAAAAAAGCGAAAATGCAATAAAATTTTCATTTTATGGATAACTTTAGTGTCACAGTTAGTGTCACATGTGTTTCAAAAAGCACTTTTCGGATATAATGAAAATGATATCGCTTTACTGTAAAAGAGAATAAAATCAAAGGGCTTATAGAAAGGAACGAGGAAGTTCTCAAATGCCATTACCCACACAATGAGATTCTAAGAAAAAAAACTTATTACATCACGTCATAGGATATTTCGGTTGTCATGTGCTGCTCTATATTTTCTTTTATGTAGGCGCAAAACACACAAAATACGCTAATGAAAAGTAAACTCATGTTTCTGTTCACTTTAATAATTTTTCTTATTCTTAAGCTAGCTGTTTTCTTTGTTGTGGCCTGCTTTTTTCTCTGCAATAATTTCAAAGCCAGATCTTCAGTTTGAAGACATTGCCAAAAAAAACACATCAATATTACAACATATCCCTCTACTTTTCGCTTCAAATAACGAGCTTTTTGGGAAATATAATCATAACAATAAAGCAAACATTCGTAATGACATAAGAATCGTAAAAACAAAGACAACAAGAACCAGATGACTCCCAGCATCCACTTGTTGTTAGTGGATATGCCGTGCCATTTTGCTTTAGCCTTCTTTCTCATTCGTTTTCACACTTTTATGATACTGGTTTTCTCCTTTTTCTGTTTTGTTCAACTTTATGATCCACAGTGAAAAAAAAAAAGTTTCATTTTGCTTCAATATAATTCTTGAAAGAGAGAATAGGAGACATAGAAAGTTTTGCTGACACTCTCATGATAATTATCGATGTGGATGTGGAACATTATATGGAGTTTTATAGAGTATATTCGGGTTGCCACGACCAGTCCATATAATTTATGGTTTTCATGAGAAACTTTTTTTCTCTCATTGAGTAGTTTATTCTATATTGCAGCTATATAAATAAGTTGGTTCATATAAAAATGTGGTTGCTGGTTGAAATAGAGATGAGAAAAAGCTTTTATCCATCTCGAAAGGAGAGAATGAGATAAAGATAGCAATAAAGGCCATAATTAGACCTTTCTATTTAATTGTGGCTTTATATAAAACATGTCAGTTTTCCTCATCAACCATTTATGCCAATTTTCATCATCATCATCATCATAAACAATAGAGCACTAACTCAATTAAATCTCTCTTTTACGGAAAGAAAAAAAAAATCAAAAAGTTTTTCTGTCCTCACCCCCGCATCAAACTTTTTCTGCTTCCTTGAAAATTGCTTAATTGGTTATTTGATACTTCAACAGATTGTTTATTAAGAAAGAAAGAAAAAAGTCAGAAAATCAACAAACCGAGAAAACCGCTAAAGAGTTCATAAAATTATAAAAGAAAAAAGTATTAAATAAAGGAAAAATCGATATTTTTCTTGGAAAGGAAGTTTATGCTACTGTTTTTATATGAATGACAAAAAATATGCCTGGAAAGTTATGTTAAGGTGGCTCGCGTGACTAAAACATTATGTGAACTTGAAAAACGTAAAATCTAGTAAAAGCAAATGAATTCATCATACTGTAATAAAATTTTAGCAGCAACTGAATGGATCTCGCCTTAAAAAACGTCGAAAAGTTTCACAGAAAAAATAGTAGTTAAGAGAAGAGAAAGGCCACAATTTTGTTATGCTTCAAAGGAATAAATTCACAACACTATTAAAATATTGATTCAAGAACAATCTTAAAGATAATGAAACTGACAAGTGTCAAGTTCAACCTTTCGTATTTGAGCTTCTAAAGTGTCAACTTCAGGCTTAGAGAAACAAACATTTTGACCATATCAACATCAACGATCTAACGGCCTGTTTCACTAAAGTGGATTATCCTCGATTTTTGACTATCTACTTAAGTTTTTTGTAAATATCTTAAACTTTATGCGAGGTGTGGTATTTCTAATTTAGGATTATAATAGAGTGAAGTATGCCTGAAATTTCTGTATACTTTAAACTTTTACTTTTTGTTAAGAAGTATTAATTATTCAATTTTCTAGCAAAATCTAGTAGATTAACTTCGATTATTATTGCTATAATTCTCAAACGAATGAAGATATAAAAATTCTAAGTATATTTTTATTAAGTAGCAAAGTACTCTAAATCGCTCACACATTAGATCTCTTAATAACCTTAAGCGTCTGGAGATATTTCTAAAAAACTTAAGTGGATAATCCGAAATTGAGGATCCAATTTAGTAAAAGATTTATTAATCAAATATCAAAATGATTGATTTATTGGAAATATCTTTGGATAATTTATTAAAGATGTCTTCATATTATATCCTTTTGGGGCTTATCACTTATTACGTTACACAAAAAATAACTTTTTAGACACATTTATCTACTCCCGGTACAAATTTTGTTTAAAATTTCATAAAATCGTAGACTGAAGAATGGACATTAAAAAGTGAATAAGCTTCTTTTACGATCGCTTTATAGGACTAAATTAGAATTAAGATTAAAACTTAATACGGTGACAAGGAGCTTATACATATGATTTTGAAATAAACGAGCGACCTTTAATCAATCTTTAATAATTTCCTAAGATTATTGCTGTAACTAAGCATAATAATCAAAATCAGAGTAAAATCACAATTCTCATTTTATTCTTCAAAATACTGAATAAATTAGATTAAACTCTTTAAAGTCATTACAGCAGATTACATGATTTAAATTATTTTACCACAATTACACCACATTATTATTATACAAAAAGACATTACAATTACATAAAGAGTGGAAGAGTTTTCGTATTTCCTAATGAAGCTCTTTAATTTGCAGCTTGAGGGCTTAACAAGTATTAACAAAAGTTAGTTGAGGAGAGAAAAAGTTGCCAACATTTTAATGATGCATCAATTAGCTGTAAGCAAAGTTTTTATTTCAAAGTATAAAAAATTTTGATTATTTTTCATGTTAACAAGGAAGTTTGTGTAATTATTAAAAATAATTAGGTGCTCTGTTAATGCTTACTTCATAAATGATCATTGTTAAAATTATTATAGGTTTTTTTGAGTAGGTGAAACTTAATCTTTGAAAATTTAATAAATTGAGCATATTCAAAATGAAATAAAATTAATATTGTTGCTTCAATTATCAACTTAACATGTTAGCGTCACTTAAGGCTACTGTAATAGCGACTGTAAAACAATAACAAGCTAAAACTTTGTAATAATTCTACATAATATTAAGAGCGCGTGCGAAAAAATATGAAAAACTTTCACAAAGCTAAAGTAAAATGAAAGAAGTTGACTTAAATGGCTTATTTATTGCCAGCAAACGTGCTATTTTATGTATGTAGCCGTATGTAGGTTTACAGCTTAAAGCTGTTCAAAGTATTTCTTGTTTGTATCTAAACAGTGAACAGCAAAGTTCATCTCGTAATAGCAAACTAATTGTTGATGAATTAATAATGTAAAAGAACTGCACAAAGGCTGCAGACGTTGAACATAAAAAATGCAACAATGGGAAATATGCATATGACTAACTTCCACTTTTTGTGTAAATATGCTCTTTCAACTCTCCTTTTTATATTCTGTTAAATAGCTATTCTTATTGCCTCAAACTATTGTTAAGCTTTTTGTTGTTTTCATTTCTCTTTTGCCTTTTTTTTTTGTGCTAATACATATTCTCGTCTGCTGTTCCTTTTTAACCCTCCCAGTTAACTCAAAGCATTTTTTTTTGTATTCTTTGTAATTTTTCATCCTTTTGAAAACACTTCCCATTGAAAATCATTTTGTTCACTCATTTATAAGTTTTGTGCGACTCAATGCCCAATATTGTTCATTTTGTGCTTCTTTTATACTTCAAAATAATTGTTTTGAGTGCATTGCTTTAGAAAAAAATGAATTACGATAAGTTCTTTAATTACTTCCATTCAGCATTTCTTATATGAATTCAGTGATATGAAAAATATTACGCGTAGTTTTAAAAAGGATAATTGACAAAATGTCTAAAGTAGCTGACTTTCTACAGTTTCTGTTGCACGACAGCTTTAAGATTGCAATAACCCCGAATAGCACAAGTCGGTTAATCGAATAGAAATCCAGCACCATGCCAAAGTCATACCGGCTTGGTGCCAGAATTCTGATCGATTAATCGACTTGTGCCATTCGGGAACGCTTGTGGAAATTTACATACAAGGCGTGGAAACTATCCCAAATATCATATTTATCCCACATATCCCAAAAATATTCGAAAAATTCCTCAGCATGTATGCACGATAATAAAGATATCCCAACGTATCCTTAGTGTATTGGACGTGGAATTTCAGGATATGATGGGATATCTCAATTCTAATGCATACAGGCTCAGGAATTATTTTGAATATTTTTGGGATCTATGGGATAAATTGGATATTTGGGATAGTTTCCACGCCTTGTTTACATATGAGCTTTTATGCCGTTCATAAGTTAACAATTTTCAAAACTTTATTAACAGAAAGAACTCTTTACATTAAGAGCCTTTCATCTAGATCGATATGCTTGGCACGAATTAGGTGGAAATCAAAACTGAAGCAAAATTTTCAAATGAGAAAAGATTTTTCAGCAAATTTATTTAAACAAAAAATATAAATTTAAGACATTAAAGAAACAAGAAGTTAAGCTAGGATTAAGGAATAGCTTCACAATGTTATCTTTGAAGGTATTTTGAATGTGAAAATTTCAGACTATGTATAGCTTATTGACACCAAAAAAACAGATAACAGAAACGTTAAATGGTATTATCAACAACTGTAAGTGAAGCTTTCATGCTTGAAAAAATATCCGTGAAAACAAATAGAAGAATGCAAAGAAAGGAAGGTAAAGGCACGTGAA